AAAAATTTTAACGACAAAGAGCTTACGTATCTCTTATAAATGTTTTGACGGATCTTCGTGAGAAACGGTAATTGTAAAAGTAATGCCTTTTAATTTGGTCTTGCAATTTCTGACTTCAGATTTGATAAAATTCTTATTGAATTGCACAAGAAAAGGCCTAACTCTGGTATTACTACCCTGATATCTCAAACGATGACATCGCTTAAATGATGTGCTACACCTATTAGAGAGCCGTATCTTGTTTTTAATCAGATCAAGTACCTCACTCTCAATGTTAGATTCAGAGTTTTCAGGTATGCAATTAAATAACAATATTTCATGCCGCTGCCACATATTACTTTCATCAATAGAAGCATTTTGCCCATAAGCTCCTTAAAGACGTAACTAACGTTGAGCTGGACGGAATCGGATCCTCAAATTTAGCAATTTTTCAAGTCCATTTTGCTTCCAGCTCTTTACGCAAGTTGTGTACATTGCTGACATATTCCATTATGAATTGTGTTAATCACAATTGATGGATAATGTAAGTAACTTATTAGAAATACTTCACATGGATGTAACTATATGATTAATCGATACAACCATTTGTATCCAAGAATTTTTTAATAAAGTATCACTTATATTTTCTCTAAATTAATTTTAAACAAATATAATTACAGAGAAATCTAAATTTACAAAAATTTACATAGCACATATGAGTATACAACGTGTTACAAAATACCCCGTAAAAAATATAATAATTACCAAAACCAAAAATTTTGTCAACCCTAGTAAGCTGTCATTTTAGGGAACCAGATTATTTAACAGAAAGGCCTATGTCGGCGACAAGACCCCATCTGCGCTCCTGGGTGCACATAGTTGCAGGGGAAACTAACTAATGACGAACTGTGTTTTGTGAATAATTTATAAGACTATTATATCATATTATTATTTCCTAATTAGTAGAGTAAGGAAAATTATGTAGTATTAGGACGTAATAAGTTAGTTCTTGATCATTTATAAAGGGAATTTTTAAGCAAAATTTTGTATACTTACGTAACTCGAAAAATGTCAATTTTTGTTTATCGCTTGGAAACTGGCGTCGAATTAAAGTTTTAAATGTAAGACACTATGTACAAAACACTCTACAGTCCACATGCTTCTCGGCAGGGTAGATTCCAACACCAGTGGCGGCTGAATGTGTAGGCTGACCTTTATGACGGGTATGTCATCGGTCGCGTCATTATGCCATCACGTCAGAACGGTAGCAAATAACTAACGTTTTTACAAACGGAATTCGAAGAGGTGATTAACGACTTTTCTGTGGCTGACTGGGATTACTTTGAGAACCAAAGAAACATAGTGTTACAACATGATAGAGCTCAGGCACATTTTGCTCACAACTTACGAGAACATCTTAACGTTTGCTTTCCGCGAGGATAGATCGGCCGCGGAGGATCGGTGCTATGGGCTGCTCATTCTCTGGACCTCACATCCTTGGACTTCTTTTGTGGGCTTATGTGAAAGACAAAGTGTATTTCTCCGATTGCCCAACGGTTGCCGAGATGGAACAGCGTGTTAGATCGGTTTTCGCATCAATAACACCGACGATGGTGCGAAATTCCACACAAGCCATATCCCGACGGGCGAGGTTGTGTATTGAGCAAGGCGGAGCACACTGAGCTGTCTCTGTAAATTTGACGTTTATTATGAAAAAGTAAGGGTTCATTTGGGTTGTTTCATTAGGTTAGGTCTTTTAAAATTTTTGTCGTTCCGCGAATTAGAAATGTAGGTACATTCTACGTAGTTTACTCTTTAATTTTACTGAGATAGGGTTTGCACATCAGTTAAAATATTAATATATTTTAATTTTTTTTGAGTTATGTTATACAGCGTTATTACGGTTCTCAAATATTGTGAATGGACTCGTTATAAGGCACCATTTAACCTCCTTTTGGTTTTACGGGTAGTTTTGTAACATCCGGTAGATTTCATAAAAATTCTATATATTTTTGAAGTCAATGCCAAAATTAGGTTTAGATCTTATTATTATTAATATTGGGTAGTAAGTCATACGAGATGGTTTAAAGTGGATATTTAGATGTAGACTTCGGAAATATTTTTATCTAAAATAGTTCTCCTTAACTTTCAGGTTTATAGATAGAGTCAATAAGTAGTGTTGTAACTATGTACGAACGAGGGAAATTGATTGCGGAAGCCAATAGCGAATATAGTGAAAATTGTTCTGGGTACTTGGAAATTTAGAATGCTTATACAGTCTAGGTTCCAATGCGATTGAGTTTAAAGAAAAACAATAAAGTACTTTTTCTGTTATATTTATTTTTGTTTTCGTAATGGATACAAATTCAAAGTTAAAGTTTTGCTATTAGCGTGTTAGTGTATCTCATGGTCAGCTTTTACCGACTTGCCTCGAAAGAAATAGGTAGTGTAAACAAAAAATAAACCTGAAATACGATTTCTAGCAAAAATATGATCGTATTCAACTTAGTTAAAAATCTTGTTAGTAAACAAAGTTTTAATTTCAGTATTTTGTGTTATTATAGCTTAAAATATTTTAATTACAAACGACTGGTATAGGTATGTAAGTAGATACTTGTATAGTGAAGTAAATTTCAACTACGTTTTGTAATAAAGTACTTAGGTATTACTTCTATAGATAAACTATTACTTAACTTTTTTTCTGTAAATACTTATCTAACAAAAATATTAAATAAATTCATCTTTCATAACTTTCTACTAAAATCCTTCGGTAGAGATCCCAAACCTTTTGTTGGTCATTTAGCATCCAGCCACGCAACAATTATAGTAGGAACGACGTATTTTCATTATAATTTATCAAATAGTTAAAATACATAATTTTTAAATAACATTAATACTATTTCATCCTATAATTAAATACACTAAACACTAAACAAAACTATTTCAACAAGTATTTGCAAAAAGCTATTTCGTGCGTAAACAACGTTAAAACCTTTAACATTCAATCGCCTGCAACGCGCTAGCCCCGACTGCGCATGAAGCCCGGGGCTCCTCGCAATTGTAGGTAACTATTTCAAGATGGTCAAGATGGCAAGAGTGACAGAGGCCTGCTAGTACTTTTGTTTAGTAACAAGATCATTAATATGCCAGCAGTGTATAATGTATAGAAGACACCCTTCCAACTATCAGAATGTCGTACATTGAGCAATTAATATTTTTAGGTTGTTGATATTAACACCAACAATCGATGCGGAATAGAGGTTCCGGAGTGGCAACCTCGAACCTGTAAGCCAAGTATAGGGTAGCTCTCTATTAATAAATTAAGGTCGTCATTGTATGTCTTACTTCGGTTAGTCGAGGGATACATGTGACTCCAGACCGTATTTTGTGGCATTCCTTGTGGTAGGCTCATATTCAGCAGTGGATTTATGGTGACCAAGGATGTTATAATGATGATGATTATAATGATGTAAATAATAATAATAATAATAATAAAGCTTTATTTAATTCCATGCATAGTACATATTAAACGATACGTTTCTTAACTTGTTTCCCTAAAACATTCAATTACATTTGTATACTTATTATTTTAGTTAGTTATATATAGTAATTAGTTTAATTTTTTTTAATTATTATTTGCTTCAATTATCAACTACCTAATTATTTAATGCATGGACCCCGTTCGGGTAAAAGCCTCCCCCAAGGTATGCCACCCTTCTTTGTCAATAGCTCTGTCTAGCCAACTACCACCCGCACACGCTACAATTTCATCTGCCCATCTGGTCTTTGGTCGACCTCTTGATCTGGTGCCTTTTGGCCCAGACCACTTTACTGCCTGTAGAGTCCATCTATCGTCCTTATAACGGGCTACGTGAACCGCCCATTTCCATTTGGACTTCATTGCAAAAGTTAAGGCATCGCATACTTTGGTCTTCATTCGAATGTCAACGTTCTTTACCTTATCCTTCAATTTTATAACTAGGCAACTCCTTTCCACTCTTCTCTGGGTAGTCTGAATTTTGTTCCTGGTTTTGAGATCGAAAGTCCAAGTTTGGCATCCATAGGTGAGGCACGGTAGAAGACCAGTATCCATGACTATTTTCTTGGTCGGTAGCGGAAGTTGCGACTTTAGTATTTCTTTATGGTGCCAGAACTTGTTCCAGGTAATCGCCACTCTTCGGTTAAGTTCCTCAGTATTTCTATCCTTACTAAAGGAGATTTGTTTTCCTAAGTATATGTATTTGTTAACAAACTCGAGAGGTGTATTATTTTTTTAAAAAAATGATGTAAATACTATATTGAAATATTATAATGAAAACATTACAAGAACGGATACGGCATATTAATCTCTTCAAGCTAAAGCTACAATTTGGAAGTCGTGCAAGTTTTTATTTTTATTTTGTAGCTTATATTCTGCATCTTAGCGCCATGAATTTTTCTTTTTAAGCGCCATGAACTTCTTAGCTTTATGGGATTTATTCATAATTTATTCATGTGCTCGAAAGCCCAGAAATTTGACTATAAATTTGAAATACAAGAAATTGGATAAAACAGTCTCACTGCACTTGAAAGTAGCGCGCACACAACTTTAGTAATTTTGCATTAACAACCGTTAATGTTAAATTACCCTACCTTTTACAGAATATAAAATTATGACCACATTATATTATGATGTAGAGCATATTATTCCTCCCAGAGATAAAACAAAAAAATTAAGTAACTTTAAGAAGTTTATTCAAAGTTGAAGTAATAGTAAATAGTTAACTACTATATATGGACCGCTCTTTCAACCATTACAATAACTACGAAGAAACTTGAACTCAATTACATTCGTAATAGTCTCGGCACTGGAAATAAACATTGAAAAAACACTCCATGTGATAAATAATCATATATAGAACCAGTAAATAAAGAATATTTAACCGACTTAAATTGGATTATAGTGGCACTTAATACTTAATAAATGAAATATATATTGCGAACCTAAATTAGATGATTTTAAATGTTTTTATTACTTAATTTCATCCCATCGGCTTAGGATCTCTAGAGAGAAAATTGTTAAGGAATCTCAAGTTTCTAAGTCTATATCGGAATCTGCCTTTCTTTTTGAGGCGACCCATACGCTGGAGTGTCTTCACTAATGGCAAAAATCGATGCATAGCATTTAATTGATCTCCCAAACAAAACACAAACATCGTTTCTACGTATGCGGAACTCATGGCTGTAGGGCTCTTATTTTCCCAGCGCATTTTACATTGCGCTTTATCCATAAAGCAGTGGTTCTGAAACATAAGAGTCGGTTCTCGAGCAATGTTACCTGGTTCTCCACATACTGGCGCGTACGTATCTGGACATTTTTCAGGACATTTATGGTAGCAAGATTGCAATGTGGGACTATGCATATAATCATCACTGATATTCTTTGGAATAATTGTATAAGGTTCGAAAACCTTAACTGGTCCTGCAATTTTTATCAATCTTCTTCGCGTTATTTCATTCACCACGTTTGGAGAAAATTCTCTTATCGGTAAATCTTTAACATGCGTCGCTGCGAAAAATGTTTCAATTGTATTATTAATATCATTTTTGTAATCTAGTATATTAGTGTTCACAATTACAAGGTTCTGAATTGTATCATTAACCATATCCTTAGGTTCCATTTTATTTGCTTTATCGTTAATAGATGAATTTGTAAAAACCGATTTACAAATAAATAAATCAGTTTCAACAAATACCTTATTTTCTTCGCAGTTGTGTTTCATAAGCTCACATTTATTATTGAACAATCTTACTTTATATCCAGCACCATCTTCTTTAAGACCACAGATATTACGTGTTTCATTTGTTAATTTACAATTAATGTTCATGCAATTTTCGGTTCTGTTGATTTCAGTTCCTTCTTCATATAAACTTCCAGTAAATTCGTTGTTAATTTGTTGCTTTTCATATTCTTCGTTTGAGAAAGCTTTATTACAGTATTCTAAATTAATTATACCATAAGTTTCATCATTTCCCACATTGCAGCCATATCTTAGTAATTGGCATTCGTTTTTAAATAACTTCAATCGAAAACCTTCTACTTCTTCTTTAATACCACAAACGCTAACATTTGACAAGTCATCACAACGTAAATTTTTGCAGAAAATAAATTTTTGAGTATCAATTTTCTTCGAATCGATTAAAAAAGTATAGCGGAATATTAGGAAAATAAAGTGTAAATGCATGTAGGGAATTTGCATTAAAAATTTACAACTCATAATGCTTCGTGCAGACGCGATAAGTAGTTAACAACCAATACAGTAAATTATATTTCAAATTTGATGAATTTGAATCACAAGCAGTGCTAGATTTGATTAAAATATTGATAATACCGATGACTGTATAAAATTTAACTGTACTGTATAAAACTGTATAAAGTATTTACCAAGATTATTAAAGAAATAATTATCCTAATAACCTGTTTATTATTTATTTATTTGATCGGGAACCTTAGAATAATAAACAATAGAGTAAGTAGAAAATAATTATGCTATAGCAAACTATTTATGGGTTTTCGCAAATAGATACAATATATAAATATGTGCATGCTTGGAATTACCGAGAATTAATACCTAGTAGTATTGAGAACAGTAGACCTCACGGAAAAGTTTTTGTTTGGAGGCGAATTGTCTGCTTGCTTTGCGCAACTGTGTTCACGCGGCGCTCTCCGACAGCCGGTTGCGCTCCGCCCACTGCAGGACGCGCGGGTGAAAAACGAATTTGAAATCGTGGTAAGACCTCGTCTTAATGACGAAAATGGCAGCACGTACTGCGGACATGAATACATGTCCTCTGTACTCAGCGGTCACAAAACGTGGACATTGTCACATGTCCTCGGTACATGAGGGGAAGACACTGTCGCACCAACCGCAAGTTTAGCTAGGTAATATCGTGCCGTTATTAACTAAACGTAACAAATTAACAAAAACAAAATCATCGGCTGGATTTGAGGAATGGCTTACTCAGAACTCGTCTCGCCAAAATGTCACTTGTGTTATATAGGTCTAAATTCAACTATTGATATACAGTATTAAAGTCCTTGCACACTGATCTTTCGTCTAACATTTTTTTGAGTTTTGATATATTACTTCCAAAGAAGATCTGGACAGTCGATCTCGCTTGAAGCTATCTAAAGTAGAAAGTTAATATCCACTATTTACCTTCGTATTTCGAGGTACATTTTATACATTTATCGTAATAAGGGTTAGAGATGTAGTGCTCTTTTAAGCCCGTACGTTTCTTTGATTCTGTTATTAATTACGTTTGCAATTGAGATTCAATATTTTTATTTATGTACTTTTATTCACATAGACTCACTGACAAGTTTTTGTGAGTTGGAAATTAAAAGAAAAACTAGATTTCAAAGAATAAAGACTTCAATCAATGTCAATATTTAAGTATATATTACTAATAGTCATAGATCTTTACATTTTAATAACGATAACACCAACGTTAGTGTTATAATATTTTCTTGTATTTCAGTTATTTATTAAAAAATTCTCCACTATAATCAGAGAGTGAGAGCGAGTATTCTTTTCTATATTTTGAGTTTTAGATTTAAAATACATCTATTTTACACGTTTCTTTAAACTGCACAGTAGATATTTATCATTTTACGGTAATATTTGTTAAAAAATATTCTTGTTCAAGAGCTGCCATTCATTTATTCATTACAGCCTATCAATAGAACTAAAACTTTACACATGTATTGCTTCATAGGATAGTCTTTACCATAGTAGTCAGGCTTGGCACATTTTCATATCTTCTATACTCATTGTGAATTCTATCCCATCTCCCCATTTTCTGTTTCATTTTCCTTTTGTTGCCCCTTGAGACATCCGCGGGGTAATATGGTCTAGTGGATGTTTAAGCACCATGGTTGATGTCTGTCATTTAATTTATATTTGTGTTTTTATAAGTGATTAGAGCCGTGGTAGCTCAGATGGTTAACGCTCGCTGTAAATATAACAGAACGCGAGTAACCCGGGTTCGATCCCCGCCGGCACCAATGAAATTGTTAATTGCAATTTTAAGTGCTGATTTACCACGTGCTCGGCGGTGAGGGAAAACATCGTGAGGAAGCCTGCATGTCTGAGGAATAAGAAAACAAATATTTCAAAGACATGTGAAGTTCGCCAACACGCATTGGGGCAGCGCGGCGGATACTTCCTTGCCCTAAACCTTCTCAGAAATGAGGGGTGGCCTGTGCCCAGCAGTGGGACGAATATAGGCTGTAACTTTACTTTACTTTACTTTTTTTATAAGTGGCAGAACCACGGTGCAACTCTATTATTTTATGGGTTAAGCATAAATAAGTTGCCTCGACCGTGAAAGGAATATGTTTTGAGCTCTAGCGAGAAAAAACATCTCAATGCTTTGTAAAGTGAGGATAAAGAATCGGAGAACCTTTTTTACTGGAAAAGAAACATTCGATCTTACTCCACAGGGGTAATGTCGCATTGTGCATTTTATTCATATTCTAAGATAAATGTAGATGCCTATGCCCCGGTAGACTGTGTGTTTGTTACTCGCCATTATTCTATAAAACCGTAGGTTACCTTAGCAATAATGTTGTGTTATATTTGCGTAAAATAAAACTGTGCTATGAAGGGGCTATTTACCAAAAATTTTATATGATGCGTATCAGGTACAATCAAACATAGTATCTGATAAAGCGCATATATGCATTTGTAAATGCGTTATCTGGGGCTCTATGACGTAACTGACGTACAATTTATGATCTAAAGTGGAGTATAATCGAATTTGTAGATTTTTTCCAGTTTGAATCGTCTATGAATACGAAATTTATCACAAAGGAACAGAACTTATACATTTAATATTCCACATAGTACATGTTATCATAAAATGAACAATTTACAAGTTATTTCATATTTTTTATACGTCTAATTCAATTTGATGACTCGATAGGACAGTATAATATATGCCTTTCGCTTGGTCGCTATGGAACCGCGGTTGCGAATCAATATAAATCTTTTACGTCTCATGCGGTAAGATTGTGGAATGTGCAGCCACGAGCAAGGCATCGTTCAAACGCTGGCTCTGGAATCACTTTCTGGCGTTGCAGGAATAGTTTGTGAATTAACATTTTTTATATCCTTAAATTCTAACTCTTCCGTTTTCCTGTTTTTATTTCAAATATTTTATAGGTTATAGATTCAGAAACAGCTATATTTAATTATTTATGTACTATATATGGATATATACACAGGCAATATTAAGCAAATAAGACAGCTTATATATATATATATATATATATATATATATATATATATATATCTTGTATATATATCTATATAACAATATATATGTGTAATTATGTTTATAACATTTGTCGCAATATATAATGTGTATGACTACTTATAGATATTATAACTCGGTTGCACTGTGCACGCAGAATATCTTCTCTGCTTAGCCTGGAGGTAGAATGGTAGAAAATACCCTGTCGCATCAAATCTGCCTTTTTATACTTGGTGTACAAATAAATCATAAATAAATTAATAATGTGTTTGTATCACCTAGATAGATAGATAGGTTGTTCCGAGGCTGGTTGTTTAAACATGTGCAATTTATGTATACAAAAAGCTGCTATAGTAGAAAATCCTGTAGTAAGGTAAACATTCTCAAAAAACTTAAGCCTCCCTATTTGGATCTATGGTTTGTGTCCATCTATGTAGTATCACACATTGCTATTTATTTTTGGGCAATTCATCAACGTGCGTTATACTAGTAATAAGAACTTTCTGCTACAATTTAATAGAATATACTATCACTTGACTAGATTTCAGAGGCCTTGCGGGTGTTAATTTTCAGCGATGTTCACCCACTGCTGAAATACTGATTATATGCATTCTACTTTGCCTCGAAAAAGTTTCCTAATCTATTCTAATACCACTTCATATTCGCTTGAACTCACCTGCTGAATATTTAACAGTTTTAAGCTGTGGATTTCTGGTTGCCATTTTACCTTGTCACTGGATTGTAACTGAATAGTTTATATAAATAGGCTATTGAATTAAAAAAACATCTTAATTTCAATACAGAAGACGATTGGATGTTACCATCTGATTGGTATCCTATAATTAATAAAATAAAATCCCAACCCATGCACATCACTGAAAGACTTCAAGATACTATAAGTTCATACTGCGTAAATTGAAACAAAATCAATAATTTTATCTGGATTGGTTAACTATGAGATTAGGACGTCGAACATTCTGACTACATGAGCGCTGTTAAGTGCTCGAAATGTCTGGAATATAAAACAGGTTAATATATGCGACAAATTCCATAACAAAAATCGGTTGACCCTGCGGACCATTCCTGGAGCTTCCCGCTAATTCCAATATCAAAGCGCTCGAAACTCCACTTTTAAATATATGATTATGACGTTTCTGAGCTCCAAGAGCTCAAAAAGTCACAATTTTGGAAAATCAGGCTTTTTTTCATAAGTAAATATTTCACAAACAAATCGACTGATTTTGAAGTGATTTACGTCATCGACGCAATTTAAAAAAAAACAGCTCAACTAAAAACCTTATTACAAAAAATATTTCACTGAAAGTTTTCAAGTTATTTTGAAAAAAAAAATACTTTTTCTATTTCTTTATAAATCTCTCAAACGATTTTTACGGCACGACAGTTTACGGAAATCGACGTCGTGATTTGAAAATGAAAATAAAAAAAATGTTTATTTACAGCTATGGTGGTACAGATCATAATATATAATATAAGATAATGAAATGGAAGTACAGTAGTCTTAATTCTTTAGTACATTATTATAAATTATGATCTTATCACACCAACTAAGCTGGAGTGTATAAACAATGGTGTATAATCTGTATACACTACATTTCGTAAATTTATTATTAGATTGTGTAACAATTTTTTTTTGAAATAAAGTCACACACGCACGCACGCACGCACGCACGCACGCACGCACGCACGCACGCACGCACGCACGCACGCACGCACGCACGAACATACACACACACACACACATGTGTGTGTGTGTGTGTGTGCGTGTGTGTAAATTTACCATACATATCTATATATATATATATATATATATATATATATATATATATATATATATATATATATATACGCAACACGAAAAAAAATTATGTAAAGTTAATATTTATAAAAACAAATACCGACAGGTAAAAAGTTTTTTTTATATAAATACTAAAATATAATACAAAACATATATAAAATAGAAACTCCTATAGATGCATTTCAATATTACGTAGTGTATGTTCATATATTTTATATAAGTAAATTTAAGATTTCTTTCTGTACGAGCTTGAGGTTCGTGACAGTAAAAACTGCCGATTGAATTACCAAAACTTACACTTTTACTACCGAACACAAATTAAAACTTAAAAGATACTAATAATTAATCACACTGATTCACTTTGTTTCGCTCCGAAGCTTCGCTTGTTTCGCCAAATTCTATACTGCCCCGATCGCGTCTTGCAGCGCTTTTAAATACACATTTTTCACCAAAACGTCCAGAATATTCAAATAAATACGCGCGCCAACCGACCAGGCGTAGAAAGTTCGAGTGTGGGGCTTCCATAAAGCTTAATTCTTCTGTTTGATACTAGATGGCGCTGTTGGTCGAAAGTCAAGATTGACATTTTGTAGGAAACTCTCTTCGCTCTGGTCTCCGACACTAGATGGCACTAGTGCCAGGTACATGACGTCAACTCAGGCACGCAACACTGCCCCCTCCTAAGAAATGCTCGTCCCGAGCATTATCGGCCCCATATTAACGCGCCAGGCGATCCACATGAACGATCTTAGGAGTCGCTCTTGCGCCTTTCTGTAACGGCTCCGAATGTCAAGGGCTGTCCTATCCCATGGTGCACTAATATTGTACAATTTCGATGCTCCTCCACTACGTGTCTGAGGTCCCCTCACAGCCGCACATCTTGTACATGTGCGACACCAATCCTCGACATCGTCACGATAATAGACTCAGTGAAACTGTTCTGAGAACTTCACTAGAGTTCGTTTAACTCCCAGATGGACTCCTGAACAACCATTATGGTGCAGCTGTAGAGCATTCGGCACTTTAGCTTTAGGGACAACCATTTGCAAACGACAGCTGTCTCCTCGACCATTGTCCCATTTACGGCACAGGACTCCATCCTGAATCAGCAAGCTGTCGCATTGGACCCAATAGCTTCTAGTGGTCGAATTCATCGCTGAGACTTCGCTCCACTTAGGTTTGGTAGCACGGGCCTTCATCCATTCCACAATCGGCTTGATGTCCGGATCTTCCTGCTGTGCATGTCGTAAGCTGTCCTTCCACTCGTTGCTGAGGTGGTCTCTCCTGAGCATCCTCACGGATACCACTTCCTTACTCCAGTACAGTGCTTGCAATCTACAGGACAAGGCCTCCCTGATAATGCATCTGTGTTGCCTCGCCATTTCCCGCTGCAGTGTAATATAGTAAAGTCGTATTCCTGCTGCTGCTGGGCGGTGATGTTAGCCGCACTTCCTAGAGATCGATCAACTTTCCTTTCTACGGTTCTCTTAGGGCAGCTGGATCGAAGATGGCCCCTTTCCCCACAGCCATAGCACCTAGGGCTGTATCCATTATTGCGGTCTCGAACTGCTGTAGCTGCTGCAACCTCCCTGACGCGACGGGAAGGAAGACCCTGCCGCACGGCTTCCACCTCCAGTGCATGGGCCAAGGTGTTCTTAAACGTCTCGTGGTGCCCGAGCCTCACAGTAGTTCTGACTTCAAGGTCGCGGATGCAGTCGATGAATGTCTGCACCAGGTTCCCTTCAATGAGCGCTGGTACAGACTGGTATGCTTTCCGAACCATCTTCTCCACCTCAAGTGCCCACTGCTGCAGGTTTTCATTGCTGCGTTACACGCGATCTCCAAGCTGCGCACGAAAGTCGTGTTCCAGATGAGCGTCGCCATATCTCGCCTCCTGCTTCAAGGAGCTGCTCGTAGGCCACTTTCTTGCCGAGAGCTAACACAGTTTAGGCTTGGTCGCGTAGGCCTAGGGTGAGTGCGGTCATGGCCTGGCTTTTATTCCAGCCGTTCGCCTTCATAACAGCCTCGAACTGGATTTTGTAGGCTGACCAGGAAGAAGTCCCGTCGAATGGTAGCACCTTGAACCCACGTAGCGAAGGTGTTGTAGCTACTACGGGAGCTGTAGTACCATCTCCAAGTTTGAGTTCGTCCAGTGATTTCTTAATGTCAGCCATTACGTTGTCAACCCGATTGTTTACTTGGTCGATTCGGGTTTCAGCTTCCGACAGGCGGTTTTCATGTTGAGCAACCTTATCCTTCACCTCCCGTATCTCTTTTCCGAAGGTAACGTGAAGGTTCTTCATGAGAAGCATCTACTCTTCCAACCGACGGGCCTCTTCCACCTGTCGGCGGGCCTGTTCTACCTGTCTGCCCCGCAGCTGCTCTTCCAACTGACCTGTTCCTCCTGTCAGCGAGCCTGTTCCTGCAGCATCACCATCAGCGTCGTCACCTAAGTCGGGTGCTGCAGATGTAGGAGCTACTGACGGGCCTGCAGCCGGTGGCTGGCCCTCCGACGTCTGCGGCGTTGCACCACCAAATCTTCTTTGATCCGTCTCCTGCTGGCGTTTACTTCGGGTACGGACACCCTCCGTTTCCACTTCTGACACCAATTATTACGAGCTTGAGGTATACACAATTTACACTTTTACTACCGAACACCAATTAAAACTTAAAAGACACTAATAATTAATCACACTGATTCACTTTATTTCGCTCCGAAGCTTCGCTTGTCTCGCCAAAGTCAATACTGCCCCGACCGCCTCTTGCAGCGCCCTTAAATACACATTTTTCACCGAAACGTCCAGAATATTCAAGTAAATACGCTCGCCAACCGACCAGGCGCAGAAAGTTCGAGTGTGGAGTTTCCAGAAAGCTTAATTCTTCTGTTTGATACTAGATGGCGCTGTTGGTCGAAAGTCAAGATTGACATTTTCTAGGAAGCTCTCCTCGCTCTGGTCCCCGACACTAGATGGCGCTAGTGCCGGGTACATGACTTCAACTCAGGCACGCAACACTATCATAACTCAGAGTAAATAACCATTTTGTTATGGCTCTTTTAGCTTCCACTACTGATTTTTCTTTCATATCACAATACTTATGGACGGAGTTATATACTTGAGTTCTCACAAATTGCCCAAAACGTTTAGAAAAAGCAGAGTTGATAGCGGGAGTTGGCAAGCGGAATACTCTTCGTTTCAACAATCTCTTATACTCTGAAGATGCCAGAGTAGACTTATGAACAGTTAGGGAGGTGTTCAATATGAAAAGTTGTCTTACATTTAATAGTCCACTGTCCTTATATAAATCAAATGTTGAATATCTATACGGCTTTTTTAACATTACTTTTATAACCGAACGTTGAGCTCTCTCAACTCTGATCAGGAAAGTTTTTGCTGCGATTGGCGTAACGCATAATACACGGATCTCAGAATATTTAAGCCTGCTATGTCACGCAGGAGAGGGTGCGACTGCGCAACGTACAGTACTAGCTCTGCTAAAAAAAGCAATTTCAAATATCTCGAGAATGTAGAAAGACTACTAAGGTGTTAATAATTATAAAAAGTTAAAAAGTTAGTGCGGTGACATAATAATTTTCATATTATGGATCCAGATAGGTAGATCCAGATGATAGTGAACAAAAATATTTAATAAAGACATAAAGTAAAGATCTTGTGACGGCACTCAAAATGTGTGACTTCACCTATAAACAAAGAAAAGAAACCTTCATTCTTCAGGTGTAAAATGAATGTCAATGATTTAAGATCGCTAAATAAGGCTAAAATAGTGTTATAAGAAGATATAAATTAGATAAATAAAGTGACAAAAGTGTAATATTCAACAATCTACTGATGGTAATGATGGTGAATGAAAAAATATATATTAATAGTAATAAATAAAGTAAATAGCTTATATTTGTTAGTTTGGGGAAAAGAATTAGATAATGACAGTATATTAATAAAATATTTGACTATTATTCACTTTAACATTAATTAATAAGTTAAAGAAAGTGGATTAAGTAAATACATCGGCCTCTGCTACCACCATCTAGCGGTATAAATCAATAACGTAGTATTTGCTACCAACCATATAACCATAATATTATGGTTGTAGCACGAAGCTGCAGTATTGCTCTACCACGTACGATTGCCTTGATGGAAATATGCTATTTAGGTCTTTGTGCTTGTTATTTAAACGAATTTATCTTTAAGTTTTAGATTCTAATACTATGGAGTTTCAAATACTAGTTCTTGGTAAAAATTAATGTATTGTAATCGATTCGTAAACCTGAAATTTTGTTTTACTAAAAATTTCACACTTTACATGCCCGGTTAAATGGGTTAAAGTGAGTTATAAATTATGTTGATATATTATGCATCTTCATCATCACAATGACATCATCATCATCAAAATCGCTAACTCCTTTTTAAATATTTTTTCCGATCAATCAAAACAAAAAAAATCCCCTTGTGCAATTTTTGTTTATGGAAAAACCTTATGTTTTACCTCAAATAAGAGACAAGGAATAAAATAATCCAAAATTTTAAATATGCCAGTTTATTAGTATCACTTGACGTTCTTATTCACAAGCCAGTCGAAGGCACCGCCACCAAGTTCAGAAATGCCAGGATAGCCATTATCTTGAGTATGCAACGACTCGTGTTCTGGTGGTCCGTAACTGTAGCCGATGGTGTTGTAGTCTGAAGGCGCTCCATAGACAGATGATGGTGAGGGTTTTGGAGACTTGCTTTTTAGAAAATAATTCAGGAATAGACCAAACAAGTAGAACAGCTTTTGGAAGAATGCCATCATGAATAACGTGGAAGCCACTTTAAATATCGCCATTTTGGAGAAGATAAACAGGAGTATCATACCTGAAATATTATTTAAATTATCAGCGCATGTTATTCAAACGGTTTATTTATGACTACTGATCCACATCGTCTTCGCATGGATAGGATCTATTGATGACTATTGTTTCGGACAACAAACAAAAAGTTCAGTTATTTCGAAGAGTAGCTCACACAGACAGACAAAAATTTACAAAAATGGTTACTTTTGTCTTAATATCATAAAAAAAAACGTTAAACCCCTTATTAGTTCATAAAAGATAGCTTGATCTCTGCGACAGCTGTCAGTAAAATCACGCCTATGAAGTAATGAATTTCTTAGTAGTACAGACAGTACCTGTCAATGTCATACTTTAGAAAGAAAGAAAGAAAGAAAGAGATTTTATTTGGCACATGCAACACACTCAAGTGGATTACATAAAACACATAACATTTAAGTAGTCATACAAACAAAAAACAAAAAAAATATACATAGAAATCATGAAACAGGACATTCACTCCTTGTTTATAGATATGGTAAAACAAAAAAAAAAAATAAAAGGAAGAGAAAAAGAAGGAGGGTTTCACAGGAGTTCCCTTGATTTTCAGTGGCACCCTTATATATTTAAAAAATAAAAATACACAAATATATATATATATATATATATATATATATATATATATATATATATATATATTCTTTATGTGCAGAGGGTAGTTCTGTTGCGTTAAACCAAATATAATTTTTTCTGTAATATTGTCACAATTCTTATAAAATATTCTTAATACTGTAAGAGGTTGCATTGAAATACACACTACGGGCATGCCGACCTAATTAGTGCATGCCCATGTGATTTTTATGATTTTTACTGACATCTGTCGCAGAGATCAAGCTATCTTTTATGAACCATAATAGAAGCGAGTGACTTCAATATTACAGACTTCAATTTATTCATTTGTTTAGATGATACTGTGTGGTGCGGTGCAAAATTCTCGTCCACCTTCACCGTTACGGATTATGGGTGTTGTTAGAGGTGACTTTTTGAAGGCCAGAAAGACCAGCCTTTTTGAAGAAGAAAGTCTTCGATAAATAACGGTATGCTACCACTTGCGTCATCATAGCATCGTCACTACAATCCATCACTATTCCACAGCTTCAACTTGTATCGATTATCTTCACGTTTTAAACGTTATATTTGACACTGGTAGGTTAGAAAAGTTGAATATTTAATGAATGTGTGTTTAGCAAGGACACTGTGGCTATATATTATTTTATACGGAAGCGATAAAAACCGTCAATATTTGTAGTTTCCGATATGATTTCTTAGGAAAATATTTTTCGAAGCCGGAAAAGGCAGTGAAAGAAATTATTGTAAAGAAACCTGTCTAAAAATGAATACAATGAGAAGATTTGATTAGATAGCTAGCACGCATTTAGGTGTTATCAGGAATCTTACTTGTACTAAAACGCTCCTAAATATAACTTTATTTTACTAATTATGTCACTAATCTAAAATTCTTACTAGCATGACTAAACCGTATGTGATTAGCGCAATTTAGCTATCTTTCAGGCGCAGCATAGTGCCTGCGATTAGTCAAATGCCGCATCTGCGTTAAATTACTTGAGAGTTGAGGCCTCGCTAGTTTTGCTGCGAGAGTAATGTTTTCATTCAAATGTATTTTGTTTACTAAAGTAAAGCTAAAGCTGAGCCAAAACGACTTTTAATTTACTCTTATTAGCACAGAAATTACAATGCCGAGATATAAATTAAAATTTTGCTGTTATGAAAAATTATGAATTTATAAGACTAAAATTAATGTTTAAAATACAGTTGTAAATATTACTGTTAATCGTGATTTTTTATAATGAGCTGTATAGGCCACCCTGTTACGTTTCGTGGGTGTTGTAAGATGCGACTTTCGGACATTAGAAAGATCTTATGGCTTCCGAAATATAGCAGCTATGCTCGTATATGCAAGGTTGAAAATACCCACGGCTTTACTGGCATGTTAATGGTGCCAAAATACATGAATGTTCCAAGAGTTTTGGTTCCAAGGCCCAAATACTAAGCTAGTTTTTGAGAATGTGATACTGTATTTAAAACTATCTCCAGTTTTACTGCGCGTTACTGCATCATCGGATGCTTTTGTTTTGCACGGACCTCAATAACTTTATAATCACTTAACCAGGTAGCCGTTAAATTAGGTAAGATAATTATTAAATAACTTACCAAATAATTTATACCTATCTTTTTTCTTTTTGGCCCTCGTTTCTTCTACAAACAAATCATTACTATCCAAGCAGTAACAACACCCTATCAATACGATTAATATTACTACAGCTTTTGACATTTTTTTCACAATAATTAATTAAGCAAATAATGAATACAAAATGCTCTTTAAATTATAGCTGGTTATATTTGAATATAAAAGTTTTATAAAAACTATACCGAAAATTTCTGTCCTACAGATGTTCGCAGTGCAAGTGCGGGCCAGTAAATACGTTGGTGTTTTTAAAACAGTACCTATTTGTTGTACGGAGGAAAGTTATCTTTTGTTTTCGTCAAGTTAAACAAATCGCGTCGCCTTTTCTCTTGCTGTAACTAATGAACTTGTACGGAGCCAATTACAAGCTCTTTGTGAGGCACGTTTCCAGCGTATTCCCAGTATTCACATGTTATGCTTTTTAAAATTTTCACCTTTTAGAATGAAAGTGATTTGCATGATAATTGTCAGACATTGCATTGTTGAAATATCTGCTCGAAGCCTTCCCCAATCCAGAGTTAATGTTATGAAATGATATTATGGAAAAAATATTTTAGCCAACTTCAACAAAAGGAGAAAGTTTTCAATTACATTATATGTTTTTTGTAAGAAAGTAACGCGGTATCTTCGTCAATTGTGAACCGTTCAACCTTCTGTTAACCTCTGATCCTGACAGCCATCAGGTGTCCGTCGATGGCCCTCCTGGCTTTTCAGAACACAAAGTTGCACATCAATTATACATTAAAGGTACGGACCTGTATGCTGCTGGCGAGTGAGGTACTATATTTGTATTCTACATATGGGGCGGATTTTCTTCTCACTGGATGATCCTAATATCGTTGCAGACTCTTTCACCGATGTGGTACTTCAGGAGATGGAGCTCTTCATTCCGTCATATGTAGGACTACCTGAGTAATTACCTCCTATTATTATATAATTATCCTTGCTGCTGCTATGGCCCTGGACTCAACGAATCGCTTATAATTGAGTTTCGGAGAAAATTCAACCCCTAACAACTGAAGGCGGTCAGTATATTCTAAAGATACATTCTAAAACGTAAGAGCCAAATTGAGCGGGCTCCGTTTAGCGGTGAAAAGACGCGCTTATATTTCGGAGGCGTTTAAACTCACGAGATTGGCATTGTTCGGAGACTGTCTGAAGTGAGAGATTTGCACGCTCAACCATAGCTTGTGCTTCAGACGGGATTAGATTCGGCTGGTACCTCTTCACAACCGTGCTTTCGTCTGCATACTAATAGATACCATAGCATAATAATAATAATGATGGCACCGTCGGCATCTGACAAGCTTGTCGCCATCCCGGAGAGCCACTTAGGCATGTCATCTCCGGTTGTTCGGCGCTTTCTAACTCTAACTCTGAGCACAACCTAGTAGCCAGAACTCTACACCAGGAGCTTGCTCAGAAATACGGTTGGAAGCTGTGCCTGTGCTCGAAAATGACTGCGCCAGGCTCTATTGGGACCGGGCCATCATCACAGACAGGACTATTCCTGCGAATAAGGCTGATATTGTGCTGATGGACCGGGCTCAGTCAAGAATATTTTTGGTCGACATTACCACCCTGTATGACGAGAACCTCGTGAAAGCCGAAACAGATAAGCGAACAAAATAATCGGACCTGGCTCACGAGGTGACCAACATGTGGGGTGGGCTGCCGACCGAAATTATAACTGCAATCGTTTCTGCAAAGTGTTAATCCCAGTCAGCCTCTCGGGTCATCTGAGGCGACTGGAACTCCGTGACGGACGGCTCCGGGCTCTAATGCAAAAGACGGTGCTTCTCGATACTGCTCGCATTGTACGCCGGTTTCTTTCCCTGTCCCCCGAACCCTCGGTCGTTTGGTCTCCCCTGCCGAGGGTTTCTATCTGGTTGGGTTTTTATTTATTTATGTATTTTTGTGCATTTATTTTATTTTATTGACATTTATGCACATTTATCATTTTCACTTACAATTATATATTTATAGAACCCAACCAGATGAGAAAACTATAGAGAAACACCAAAAATAATAATAATTTCCTCCAAACCAAATTTTGGTCATGGTGGTCAGCCTCAACGGAGACTAGTCATCGGCGCAGGACAGGGTTATAATGCCCAAGTGTATGCACAAGCTCAGGTGCACTCTCTATTCCCTGACTCTCATGTGACGGGACGTTAAACTGACAGGAACGTAGTGCAGATCAGGCGGAAGACCAATGGCTTTACGTGCTTTCCGAGGTACGGGGGTAAGACACCACCAACTTTCTGACTCCGGGCTGAGGATTTCTTGACGTAAAAACTCAATAATTGATTTTTTGGCCCAACCCAAGATACGAAGCCAGGACCTCATGATCAGAAGTCTCACTAATACAACCACAAGAACAACGAGGCAGTCTACAGTATAATAAGCAGATCATTAATATGCAGCATAAAGACATTGCGGAGAGAACGGATCGTCGTTTAGACGAGTAGCATCGATAACGACTTGGAAAGATCGTTGACTCAGAAAGTCCTAACTCAGTCAATCAGGCCAAGATAAGCGGTAAGCCGGAAGTTTGCCCAAAAGGCTAGTTTGCCAAACCCTGTCAAAGGCTTTCAAGACATCAAGAGAAACAGCAAGTGCTTTCCCACTGTATATGAGTGACATACTCTATTAGGTAGATCGATTTCAACACTCATCTGGCGGTCATTGAGGAGATCATTATGCTCTGGGTATGCCATGAGGTGGGTGTTCAATATACGTTCAATAATCTTACAGAGTATGGAGGTAATTGATATT